TTTTTTTTTTTTTTTTTTTTTTTTTTTTTTTTTTTTTTTTTTTTTGGTTGGTTGTACGATGTAGCTCTGGTACTAGTAAGGGGAGGCCTAAGTTCATTCCCTTCAATGATTCACTGTTTGAGACCACAATGCAAATTTTTCAAACGTCTTTTGCCTTCAGAAACAAGTAATGAAACTGTCTTTTCTGGTCTCTGAATCATTTGTTGTCATTTGTTGTCATTTGTTGCCTAAAATTGGTGTCACTACTTTCTCCTGCAGACAAATTCCTCTTGGCAATGGAAAAGCATTGCAGTTCGTCTATAGCAGCAAGCAGTTCAAAACCAAGGGTGGTCTGGCAGCAGGAGCTGCAACAACTAACGTTTACCGTAACCCGAAATTCAAAACCACGATGAAAGCAATCCAGTCGCAAAGTTGCAGCCCAGATGAGGTCATCTTTGGCTCCGACTTCCACCAATCTTTGTATTGCCATCTCTTGTGTGGGCTGATCTCCCGAGATGAAATTGAGTCGGTGTTCTCCTCTTTTGCGCACAGCATTATCCTTCCTTTCAAGACTTTTGAGCAAGTATGGGAAGAGCTCTGCACCAACATTCGAGACGGGGTTCTCTCGAGTTGGGTCACTGATCCCTCGATTCGTGCAGCCATGTCGAAATTGCTCAAGCCAGATCCTGAATTGGCTGATTTGATCTATAAAAAATGTGCAGGATTGATTAATTGGTATGGATTGATACCAGAGCTGTTTCCCAATGCCAAGTACATTTATGGGATCATGACAGGCTCGATGGAGCCTTACCTGATGAAACTGAGGCACTACGCGGGGCATTTGCCGCTGATAAGTGCCGATTATGGTGCTTCAGAAGGATGGATTGGAGTTAATGTTAACCCGATGTTGCCCCCTGAAATGGCCACCTTCGCTGTAATTCCAAACATTGGATACTTCGAGTTCATCCCGCTTAAAGCAAATGCTCAAGATCAGGAACAGGAGGGAGCGCAGGAGAACAAGCCGGTTGGTCTGACCGAAGTCAAGATCGGTGAAGAGTACGAAATAGTTGTCACCAATGTTGCAGGTAATTCCTTCCAATTTATGACATTATATACGACCTTGCTTTCAAGATATCCACAAGTGTCTGACCGAAGCGTTTATTACGGTCATTGCAGGGCTGTACCGTTATAGATTAGGAGACGTGGTGAAAGTGATGGGGTTCCACAATGCAACACCAGAGCTGAAATTTGTGTGCCGGAGCAACCTTCTGCTGAGCATCAACATGGACAAGATCACGGAGAAGGACCTGCAGCTGGCAGTGGAAGCAGCAAGGACCGTACTGGCAGCAGAGAAGCTGGAACTGGTGGAGTTCACAAGCCATGCAGACATAACAAGCGAGCCTGGGCACTATGTGATATTCTGGGAGATAAGCGGGGAGGCAAAGGAGGAGGTGCTGATAGAATGCTGCAACCGTCTGGACAAGGTGTTCCAGGAAGCGGGGTCCGTGAGCTGGAGAAAGGGGAAGGCCACTGGAGCCCTGGAGCTGAGAGTGGTCCGTAAGGGAACTTTTCATAAGATCATGGAACATTATGTGTCCTTAGGATCGGCTATGAGTCAGTACAAAACCCCTCGTGCTGTTGGCTCCACCAACACCGCCGTCTTCGACATCTTGTGCTCCAATGTTGTCAGCTCCTATTTCAGTACTGCCTTCTAAGTTTTTGCTTTCCTTGTCTCTCTTTTCTCCCCCACAGCGCATGTCACCACAGCTCCTCCCCTTCCCCCCCTCGCCCATGTACCAGCAATTTACCATCAAATTATTAGGTTAAAAGGTTTGAATACTATTATTCTAATCTTTATTCGGCCACTAATCATCTCAATCCCTTACCACATGCTCACATTGGAGGAAAATTTCCACAACGTCGCCCAACATAGTATTGTTTCGCATGGAATTTGTATGATTAAGATATTGAAAAGGCATATACACTTTATTGGGATAGATAATGACTTCTTTCAATTTAAGTCTGTTTGAGTCATCCCATTATCGCTCTCATTTGAATGTGCATGTACCTCTTATTTACTCGGCTCTCACAATAACTTTAATTTTATTTTAATTTTTTCAAATTCAAAAGTTAATTTCATTAAGAAAAAGGACCATCTTGCAAATAAACCCAAAAAATGTCCGTGCGTGCTAGAGACGGAGAAGAAAAAGGCGAGGATAATGGGCCGTATCTCAATAATTTTGTAGAATTGCATTGGCAGCTAGGCCCACAGTCTACATGCTCGAGGTGGACTAGGCCCATTGTCCCACACCTATATCAGCTGGGCCCAGCTACTTATTAGTTTTATTTATTTATTCTAATAATAATAAATAATAACAATAAAAATGAAAATAAAAAGTACAGAAAATGATTTTGTCTCTTGAGTGCACATAATGCTATCGTTCCCTTTTCTGCCCAACATTTTGACCAATTAAATTCTTTCTTCACCTTGGATGCTAATTAATTTGGATAAACTTATAAAATAATGACCATTTTCATTTATATGGATGCTTTTCGCTCTATGTTACGGTTAAGACGTGTTATTCGTGCCCCCATGTCGGATGTCTCAGTCATGCTTGTTCAAAACGTATTTTATATGGTCGCATGCCCGTTCAAACCCTTTTTACCTACTTTCATTTTAGATAAGTCTTCCTATTTCTTGTTGTGTCAATATAAGACTGTATGACCAATCACCAAAAATCATATCTTCATCCACCATATTAAAATGCTTCAAAATGTAGTATAGAAATACGTGATTAGTTGTAATTCTTTATACATGAGTTATATGCTATAAAATCCGGTAAATATAAATATATATATATATATATGTATATAGTATGTGTTCCCATTGTGTTTTGATTGGTTGAGGTCTGTTTGGCTTTCACTTCTTTTCACGACCAACAGCCAAACACTCCCTTTTTCTCTCTCCTCTTTATTTATTTATTTATTTATTTTTATTTGAAACCCATTTTTGTAAAAAGATGTTAATGGGAGAGTATCAATTTTACAGTCTTTTGTGGGGCCCACTTACCCCACCCCCCTTTTTATTCTTCCACTCCCACCAAAAAATAAATAAATAAATAAAAAAAATAAAAAAGTGGAGTGGCAATATCAAAAGCTTAAACTTCATGGGTCTCTCTCTGCCTTTTGCTTTTGCTTTTGTTGGAGAAGCTTAAACAATTTCAAACATTCGAAAAAGAATTTTGATTTATTTCTTCAAATATTCCCAAAAGAAAATTAATGAAAATTACCTTTTAAATATCACCATTTTCGACCTATTCTCTGTGGTCAAACATTCCAAAAAGATAATTAATTATACGTTTCAATCTTTTTTGAATTTTGTAAATTTCTTTTAATCATCTAATTTTATTTATACAATGTCTCCCCCGTTACCATGGGAAGCCTATCTGTGCGGGAAGGGAAGCAAACAAAAACCCGCGCTACCAAACACAAGAAATTGGTGCTTTTCTCATTCCTAGCTTCATAACGCCAACGCAGTTCTTCTTCTTCTTCTTCTTCTTCTTCTTCTTCTTCTTCTTCTTCTTCTTCTTCGTTTTCCGAGATTTTTCTGACCCCCAAATGTCACATTTCGGAACCTGATTTTCAGGTTTTGCTGCATTCATACCATCATGGGATTTCTTTCTTTTCTTTAGCTCTTCTTCTCGTTTCTCCTTACCCATCATCATCATACTTCACGCGCTCTTCTGGGTTTGCTCCATTTTCTTCATTCTTCCTTTCATCGGCTCTTACTTCCGAGTTTCTGCAATGTCGGGTTCGGCCAAATTGCGGCTGGTTCGATGCCCCAAGTGTGAGAATCTTCTCCCGGAGCTCGCTGATTACTCTGTTTATCAGTGCGGTGGATGCGGTACCGTTCTACGAGGTATTTTCTTCTTCTTTATTGTCTTCTTCCACCTCAATTCATGTTATGGGTCATTGTAATTATTTGGGAAAATTTAACTGCTGGAATCAAATTTGGGGCTGTTGGTTCATGGAATTTTAAAAGTGGAATGCCCTTTTTGTTCTTTGTTTTTCACAGCCAAGGTTAGAAATCAGGAAGAAGATTCTTTATCTTTTAAGTCTGATGAAGAACGGGTTGGTGGGTCGTCTACTAAATCCTCTAATACTCTCGAGAAAGGGTCGGTTGATTTAAGTGATGTCTCTGATGTGGATTTCAAGTTGAGTCCTGATTCCTTGCCTTGTGATCTAAATGGCTTAGAGAAGGAAAAAGTGTTGGATGCTGAGAAATGTGAAGAACACTTCAATGGCAAGACTGATAAATGGGGTGTTCACAGGGATCTTAGCTCGAATATGGATAATGATGGTTTGAGTTATTCGATGGGGATGAAACAAGTGGATATGAATGTTCGAATCAACTCGAGCACGCTTGGATCGGGAAGAGAATTGGATTGGCGAAGGGGAGAAACAGGTGGGATGGAGGAGGAGGGGGTTGAGAAGAACTCAAGGGATAATATGAAAAACGTGAGATTCTCGACTTCTAACCTTAAAGACGATCAAACGAATTATCGGTTCGATCTTGTTTCTGGCGTCGAGGAGCTTATAAGAACTAGAGGCAATGCCAGTGGAGCTGATAAAGTTAAGCACCTTGAACAGGACCGGCTTGAACTTTTGAGGAAGCTGGATGAGTTGAAGGATCAACTTGGTCAGTCTTGCAATATAGTTCATAATCCGAACCAAACTGGTCCAGTCAGTTGTGGGGTGAAGCCTGCTAAACCTTTTTATCACTCCGGGGCTTGGCCTATGGATGGTTCTTTAGGGTCTGACCAATGTGTTGCAGGTCCTTCGTTTTCCAATTGTAGTCCAATGCCTGCTCATGGCTATTGTCCATCGATGCATAATCCAAATAATGCATCTCGTTTAGGGGACCATTTTGGATCACAAATGTTTAGAGGAAACTCCTACCACTTTTCGTGTGCGCATCAACAAACCCCTCACCAATGTCATTCTGGCCATTATGTCGATACCGGTTTGGATCTATTCGGTCACTACCCTCCTAATCCTCCCTTTCATCAGCCTTCTTGCTCCTGCTTCCAGTGCCAAAATAGATATCCACATGTTCCAGCTCCAGTACCTGGTGCTTACTATAATAGAAGGTTCCCTGATCGTCCAAACAATCCTTCACTATATTCTCATGAAAACGCTACTGCTTGTGGTGCACGTGGTAACAATATTAGGACTGCTAATCCTCCCCTGAACTTCCGTGATCGACAAGCCCCCTCGACATGGCCAACTGACTTCAGTTCTGAGATTGGTGGTATCGTTGGCAGTCGTCCTCGGAGGACAGTCTTAGCGAGTGGTGGTCGTAATTGCTATCCAATAGCTGGTGGTGCTCCATTTCTAACATGTAATAATTGCTTTGAAATGCTGCAACTTCCTAAGAAGCTAATGTTGGTAAAGAATCAGCAAAGTGTTCGTTGTGGGGCTTGTTCTACAGTAATCAAATTTACTGTTATCAACAAGAAACTTGTTTTCTCCAATCATTCACGGGCAAATCCGTTGCCCTCAGAGGTTGATGATTGTGATGGTCAGGCAGTCAGGGATTATAATTCAAAATTGAACGGCTACTCGAACCGTACTAATTTCTCCTCCGATGATTATGATAACACAGTTTACGATTTCGAGTCACTAGATAATGAGCCTGTGCTACTACAGCCGGTCGGGACAGGTTTAAGCTCAGCTAAACAACAAGAGATGCAAAGTTTTCATCCTTCATCTTCAAGTACCTCAGATGATGAAGACAGTCCAGATGTTTTAACCGTTCCAAGGGAAGCTACAAACAATTTACACAATATCAAAACGACACGCTCGCATCCCCTTCCTGGTTCACCTCTTCCGTCATACTTCGATTACTCGGCTAATAATCAGGTGACAAACAGGTTTGCGAAGGGAAATAGAAGTAGCCGTTCAGATCAGGAGAATGTGAAACCAAATAAGGTCACCTCACGGCAGAATTCTTTGAAAGAAGCATCACTAGCAACTGAGATGGATGTGTCAATGAATGAGTACTCTAACACTGTGGCGTTTCATGAGTCACAGGATGCAAATAAAGAAGATAGCCAGCCAAGAGTCAATAAAGGAGGGGAATCCTTTTTTGCAAACATTATCAAGAAGAGCTTTAGAACTAATCAAGCAGATGAACGGAGCAGAAGTAATGTTTCAGTTAATGGACACTTAATCCCATATCGAGTGGTCAAGAAAGCTGAAAAGCTTGCTGGTCAAATCCATCCAGGAAACTACTGGTAAGCATACTCAAACGTTTTCTATGTTAATTTGGTTTTTGGGTAAGCTCCGTCCAATCATTTGACATAACTTAAACTGCTATATGCTGCTGACATAGTGGTCAAGGGACACGTTAAAAGAAAAAGTAAAAAGAGTTGTGGTGGGGTTGTAATGGTAGTCACCTAGCTAGGATAGATTAAATCGCTACGAATGTCTTAACTTTAAGATATGATTTGTGTAACGGCCCAAGCCCACTGCTAGGAAACATTGTCTTCTTTGAGTTTTCCCTTTCGAGTTTCCTCTTAAGGTTTTTAAAATGCATCTGTTAGAGAAAGGTTTCCACACCCTTATAAAGAATGTTTCGTTCTCCTCACTTGACGTATGATCTCACAATTTGTCTCCATTTCTTTTATGGTTTTCTGATACAAGACATGCGTATATGTGGTTCTTCTTTTTATGTAATCTGTCATGATGTATGGCTAGCCGTTTATGTGCAAGTTTTTTTAGCAAAAGTAGAAGG